GAGGGCCATGAGACTTAGACCTGAGTGCAAAAATGGAGGCTCTAGCCCCTTCCAGAGCTGAGATATCGAAACTCAAAAATTCGGCCCGAAAAAAAAACGACAGTGGTACCCCTTACGTTTTTTTTTTGGGCGAAAAATTAAGTTTCTCCAATCTTCCCAAATTCTGATAGAGGGCCATGAGACTTAGACCTGAGTGCAAAAATGGAGGCTCTAGCCCCTTCCAGAGCTGAGATATCGAAACTCAAAAATTCGGCCCGAAAAAAAAACGACAGTGGTACCCCTTACGTTTTTTTTTTGGGCGAAAAATTAAGTTTCTCCAATCTTCCCAAATTCTGATAGAGGGCCATGAGACTTAGACCTGAGTGCAAAAATGGAGGCTCTAGCCCCTTCCAGAGCTGAGATATCGAAACTCAAAAATTCGGCCCGAAAAAAAAAACGACAGTGGTACCCCTTACGTTTTTTTTTTTGGGCGAAAAATTAAGTTTCTCCAATCTTCCCAAATTCTGATAGAGGGCCATGAGACTTAGACCTGAGTGCAAAAATGGAGGCTCTAGCCCCTTCCAGAGCTGAGATATCGAAACTCAAAAATTCGGCCCGAAAAAAAAACGACAGTGGTACCCCTTACGTTTTTTTTTTTGGGCGAAAAATTAAGTTTCTCCAATCTTCCCAAATTCTGATAGAGGGCCATGAGACTTAGACCTGAGTGCAAAAATGGAGGCTCTAGCCCCTTCCAGAGCTGAGATATCGAAACTCAAAAATTCGGCCCGAAAAAAAAACGACAGTGGTACCCCTTACGTTTTTTTTTTTGGGCGAAAAATTAAGTTTCTCCAATCTTCCCAAATTCTGATAGAGGGCCATGAGACTTAGACCTGAGTGCAAAAATGGAGGCTCTAGCCCCTTCCAGAGCTGAGATATCGAAACTCAAAAATTCGGCCCGAAAAAAAAACGACAGTGGTACCCCTTACGTTTTTTTTTTGGGCGAAAAATTAAGTTTCTCCAATCTTCCCAAATTCTGATAGAGGGCCATGAGACTTAGACCTGAGTGCAAAAATGGAGGCTCTAGCCCCTTCCAGAGCTGAGATATCGAAACTCAAAAATTCGGCCCGAAAAAAAAACGACAGTGGTACCCCTTACGTTTTTTTTTTGGGCGAAAAATTAAGTTTCTCCAATCTTCCCAAATTCTGATAGAGGGCCATGAGACTTAGACCTGAGTGCAAAAATGGAGGCTCTAGCCCCTTCCAGAGCTGAGATATCGAAACTCAAAAATTCGGCCCGAAAAAAAAAACGACAGTGGTACCCCTTACGTTTTTTTTTTGGGCGAAAAATTAAGTTTCTCCAATCTTCCCAAATTCTGATAGAGGGCCATGAGACTTAGACCTGAGTGCAAAAATGGAGGCTCTAGCCCCTTCCAGAGCTGAGATATCGAAACTCAAAAATTCGGCCCGAAAAAAAAACGACAGTGGTACCCCTTACGTTTTTTTTTTTGGGCGAAAAATTAAGTTTCTCCAATCTTCCCAAATTCTGATAGAGGGCCATGAGACTTAGACCTGAGTGCAAAAATGGAGGCTCTAGCCCCTTCCAGAGCTGAGATATCGAAACTCAAAAATTCGGCCCGAAAAAAAAACGACAGTGGTACCCCTTACGTTTTTTTTTTTGGGCGAAAAATTAAGTTTCTCCAATCTTCCCAAATTCTGATAGAGGGCCATGAGACTTAGACCTGAGTGCAAAAATGGAGGCTCTAGCCCCTTCCAGAGCTGAGATATCGAAACTCAAAAATTCGGCCCGAAAAAAAAACGACAGTGGTACCCCTTACGTTTTTTTTTTGGGCGAAAAATTAAGTTTCTCCAATCTTCCCAAATTCTGATAGAGGGCCATGAGACTTAGACCTGAGTGCAAAAATGGAGGCTCTAGCCCCTTCCAGAGCTGAGATATCGAAACTCAAAAATTCGGCCCGAAAAAAAAACGACAGTGGTACCCCTTACGTTTTTTTTTTTGGGCGAAAAATTAAGTTTCTCCAATCTTCCCAAATTCTGATAGAGGGCCATGAGACTTAGACCTGAGTGCAAAAATGGAGGCTCTAGCCCCTTCCAGAGCTGAGATATCGAAACTCAAAAATTCGGCCCGAAAAAAAAACGACAGTGGTACCCCTTACGTTTTTTTTTTTGGGCGAAAAATTAAGTTTCTCCAATCTTCCCAAATTCTGATAGAGGGCCATGAGACTTAGACCTGAGTGCAAAAATGGAGGCTCTAGCCCCTTCCAGAGCTGAGATATCGAAACTCAAAAATTCGGCCCGAAAAAAAAACGACAGTGGTACCCCTTACGTTTTTTTTTTTGGGCGAAAAATTAAGTTTCTCCAATCTTCCCAAATTCTGATAGAGGGCCATGAGACTTAGACCTGAGTGCAAAAATGGAGGCTCTAGCCCCTTCCAGAGCTGAGATATCGAAACTCAAAAATTCGGCCCGAAAAAAAAACGACAGTGGTACCCCTTACGTTTTTTTTTTTGGGCGAAAAATTAAGTTTCTCCAATCTTCCCAAATTCTGATAGAGGGCCATGAGACTTAGACCTGAGTGCAAAAATGGAGGCTCTAGCCCCTTCCAGAGCTGAGATATCGAAACTCAAAAATTCGGCCCGAAAAAAAAAACGACAGTGGTACCCCTTACGTTTTTTTTTTTGGGCGAAAAATTAAGTTTCTCCAATCTTCCCAAATTCTGATAGAGGGCCATGAGACTTAGACCTGAGTGCAAAAATGGAGGCTCTAGCCCCTTCCAGAGCTGAGATATCGAAACTCAAAAATTCGGCCCGAAAAAAAAAACGACAGTGGTACCCCTTACGTTTTTTTTTTGGGCGAAAAATTAAGTTTCTCCAATCTTCCCAAATTCTGATAGAGGGCCATGAGACTTAGACCTGAGTGCAAAAATGGAGGCTCTAGCCCCTTCCAGAGCTGAGATATCGAAACTCAAAAATTCGGCCCGAAAAAAAAACGACAGTGGTACCCCTTACGTTTTTTTTTTTGGGCGAAAAATTAAGTTTCTCCAATCTTCCCAAAATTCTGATAGAGGGCCATGAGACTTAGACCTGAGTGCAAAAATGGAGGCTCTAGCCCCTTCCAGAGCTGAGATATCGAAACTCAAAAATTCGGCCCGAAAAAAAAACGACAGTGGTACCCCTTACGTTTTTTTTTTTGGGCGAAAAATTAAGTTTCTCCAATCTTCCCAAAACTCTGGATTCTGATAGAGGGCCATGAGACTTAGACCTGAGTGCAAAAATGGAGGCTCTAGCCCCTTCCAGAGCTGAGATATCGAAACTCAAAAATTCGGCCCGAAAAAAAAACGACAGTGGTACCCCTTACGTTTTTTTTTTTGGGCGAAAAATTAAGTTTCTCCAATCTTCCCAAATTCTGATAGAGGGCCATGAGACTTAGACCTGAGTGCAAAAATGGAGGCTCTAGCCCCTTCCAGAGCTGAGATATCGAAACTCAAAAATTCGGCCCGAAAAAAAAACGACAGTGGTACCCCTTACGTTTTTTTTTGGGGCGAAAAATTAAGTTTCTCCAATCTTCCCAAAACTCTGGATTCTGATAGAGGGCCATGAGACTTAGACCTGAGTGCAAAAATGGAGGCTCTAGCCCCTTCCAGAGCTGAGATATCGAAACTCAAAAATTCGGCCCGAAAAAAAAACGACAGTGGTACCCCTTACGTTTTTTTTTTTTTGGGCGAAAAATTAAGTTTCTCCAATCTTCCCAAAACTCTGGATTCTGATAGAGGGCCATGAGACTTAGACCTGAGTGCAAAAATGGAGGCTCTAGCCCCTTCCAGAGCTGAGATATCGAAACTCAAAAATTCGGCCCGAAAAAAAAAACGACAGTGGTACCCCTTACGTTTTTTTTTTCGGGCGAAAAATTAAGTTTCTCCAATCTTCCAAAACTCTGGATTCTGATAGAGGGCCATGAGACTTAGACCTGAGTGCAAAAATGGAGGCTCTAGCCCCTTCCAGAGCTGAGATATCGAAACTCAAAAATTCGGCCCGAAAAAAAAACGACAGTGGTACCCCTTACGTTTTTTTTGGGCGAAAAATTAAGTTTCTCCAATCTTCCCAAAACTCTGGATTCTGATAGAGGGCCATGAGACTTAGACCTGAGTGCAAAAATGGAGGCTCTAGCCCCTTCCAGAGCTGAGATATCGAAACTCAAAAATTCGGCCCGAAAAAAAACGACAGTGGTACCCTTTACGTTTTTTTGGGGGGGCGAAAAATTAAGTTTCTCCAATCTTCCCAAAACTCTGGATTCTGATAGAGGGCCATGAGACTTATCCAGAGTTTTGGGAAGATTGGAGAAACTTGGAAAAAAAAAAAACGACAGGGGTAACACTGTCGTTTTTTTTGGGTCAAAATTTTGAGTTGCTCTGATATTCTTGAAACTCTGGATTCTGATAACGGGCCATGGGACATAGACCTGAGTGCAAAAATGGAGGCTCCTGACCCTTCCAGAGCGGAGATATGGACATCCCACATAGCATTTATGCCATTATAAATATCTCAATATCTGAGCTTTGGAAGGGTCTAGAGCCTTCATTTTTGCACTCAGGCCTAAGTCCCATGGCCCTTTATCAAAATCCAGAGTTTCAAGAAGATTGGAGAAACTTATTTTTTTGCACCAAAAAAAACGACAGGGGTAACACTGTCGTTTTTTATTTTTCGCGTCAAAATTTTGAGTTGCTCTGATCTTTCTGAAACTCTTAGACCTGAGTGCAAAAATGGAGGCTCTAGACCCTTCCAAAGCTGAGATATTGAGATCCCACGTAGCATATATGCCATTATAAAAATAGTGGGTTCGTGAACGGTGGAATTTTGGGATGGCGCTTGGTGCTACAGACTCAGGGGCCCCAGCTGAGTGCAGGAAAATAGTTTTTATCATGAAAGAAACTTTAATTAAAATGTCCAAAAAATACATTACCAAAATCCCCACACCCACTACCCAAGTTCACACACTGCTCTTCTGATGTTCACACACTTCTCTGATTGTTTTTCACTCTATCTTCAGGTCTCTGATTCTTCAGGCCGAGAGTAAGAAGGAATATGAGGAGGTAAATACCACTCCTTAATAAAGATGTTTTACAAAAAGCAATAGATTTGAATAGATTGATTTATACAACATTATGATGTTTATTTCCTTCTTCACACGTTTTTCATTTGTATCCCCAGTGGATTTGCACCCTGAACAACATTTCCAGACAGATTTATCTAACCGACAATCCTGAGGTATCCATCCATCCATCCTTCTACTATCTATCCATCCGTCCATTGATCCATTTCATTTCATTTTTTATTTATTTATTTAGCACATTTATTGCAACAGCTGTTGTTTCCAATCACTAACAAACACAAAAATAAGAGGAGTACAGAGATTAAAATAACCCTGACAAAACATAGAGACGGTAATGATCAAACACCCATCATGACGATGCCCAGGAAGTTTTAAAAAGAGGTGCTTTAAACACGGCCTTACATTTCAGCAGTGAACTTACAGAAAGAGGGAGACCTATCCATCCATCCGTTGAAGTGTGTTGTGCTGTTGTTTTCAGGCTGTGGCGATCAGGCTGCACCAGACGGCTCTTCAGGCTGTGACGCCCATCACCAGCTTCGAGAAGAGAGCTGAAGGTTCTCCTAACCCTGACCGGTACGAATATTTCCCATCTGAGGATGACAACTAAACACTCATTTCGTTTCTGTTCACGTCTGTATTTGTAGTTTATTTCAATCTGTTAATACATTTTTTATAAGGATTTGGTTTAAAAAAGCCTGTTTTTCTCTGATGGGTAGAGCGAAACCAGGTGGTGTGACCCCTAGAGATCCTCAGAAACCCCCTGCGACCCTCGAGCCCGATGATCTGATCGCCCCGGGAACGCCGATCCAGTTCGACATCGTCCTGCCCGCGTCTGAGTTCCTGGACCAGAACCGAGCCGGAGCAAGGTCAGAGGTCAAAACCCACCTGAACACGTTAACAGTCTGTTTGCCCTTTTTTCAGTGAACCGTTTGTGTAGATTTATCATTTTACAGCCGTTTATGATTTTGCAGTGCGTTTATAGTTTTACAGTCGGCTCAGTTTTTACTGCTTGTGTTCTCTGACAGACGCACAAACCCCTTCGGTGAGACGGAGGACGATGACAGCGCTTCAGACACACACGGTGAGACGAGCCGTTTCAACTCACTGTTTACCAATTTTATGAAAAAAAAAATGTTTTATTATTATTATTATTATATATACATTTTATGATTTTGAAAATCACTGTATTGCTTTGAGAATTAAATCAAATGTAAAATCTCACGATATGATGCGAAACTTGATTGGCATTAATGTCGATGATTGCGTTATTTTACATATGATATCGCTTATTTCTTTTTCTTCTTCGCCTGTGTTGGAGATTGAGTACTCTTTCAGGAGATGTGTACCGTATAACAATGACGAAAAGACGAACATTTCCGGGGAAAGAGTTAAAAATCTCTGAATTATAGAAAAAGCAAACGCTCACATTATGATGAGGATTATGATTATTTACATATTATGCTTTTGTGAAATCTAATTTCTTCCTTTTCCTCTCTGAAACCTCCCAGATTCCCTCCTGCAGCAGGTGTTTGCTGTGCGCTTCTTGGGATCGATGGCCGTTCGGGCCGGTCACACACAGGAAGTGATCTATGAAGCCATGAGGCAGGTTCTCGCCGCTCGCGCAATTCACAACATCTTTAAAACCACCGAATCCCATCTGATGGTCAGCAGTTCCTGCATTCGGTGCGTCCGGCGTCTCACTTCTGAAATGCAGTGTTTCAAATATTGATTATTTCAGGACTCTTGGGGGGCTTAAAATGTTTTTGTTTCTGTCGACAGATTGATCGATCCACAGACACAAGTCACTAAAATCAGTGTAAGTGTTTATTTCTTTCTAACGCTGCTCTCTGAACTGAAATCTGTCTACATCTCAGTTGTGTGTTGGAGTTAGGGTTAAAATAATCAAAATTATTTTTGATTTAAAAATTATAACTCACCTGTGTGTGTGGTAGTTCCAGCTGAAGGACGTGTCTCAGTTTGCGGCCCATCAGGAGAACAGCAGGCTGATGGGGTTCGTTCTGGAGGGGAGCGACTGGAGCAACGGAGGCGAGCATGAACCCTCCTTCAGCGTATTCGTGTTTGAGAGTAACACTGAAGGAGAGAAGGTCAGTCTGCAAAACCATAAAGCTTACTCACGCTTCTCACATTTAATATCTAATTAATTCCTGGGATTTGTGATGTTTCTCCTCAGATTTGTTACACGATAAACCTCGGGAAAGAGATCTCAGAGGCAAAGAAGGTAAAGCAGAACATCTGAGATCCAGAGTAAAAACAGCATAATATAATATTTTAATATAACATCATAAAATATAAGTTGAAGTCAATGTCTAAGGTTTTTTTAAGTGAAAGATATATATATATATATATATTTTAAACGTTTCTGTAAAATATCACTGTGTACATTGGATATTTACCATGGTGTATAAATTAAATGTCAAATATAAAAAAAAGAAAGAAAAAAAAGTTAAGAATATATTATATAAAAGGTATTAATAGTCATATTTATCAATATATATATAGCTTTTTCAATAAAATAATTAAGGATATATTCTTATTTATCCGTTTTTAATAACAATAATATTACACTAATAAGATTAAATGAAGAATATATTTAAATATAAATATATTTATAAACTTGAATGTATTGTTTTATATTAGTATAATATATTATAGTAAAGTCATTAACGTTCGTATTTATTAAAAGTAATATTATACATTTAATATTTTTGATTTAAAAATTATTTATAAGAATACATTATGAAGATAGTGTTTTCAATAGTAATATTTCATATTAATATACATTAAGAATATATGTAATATGATCAATTTATATTGTATATTTATAAACCTGCATTGGATGGAAGATTAAGCAGAGATTATTATTGTTTTATATTATATTTCATCCTTGTGTCCTAAAGTGTAGTCATTACATTTAGTGGTTATGCAAACATATTGTTTTTAAACGTGCTCTAATAAATCATTTATAATATATATATATATATATATATGTGTATTATTATTATTCTTGTTCTTCTAGTAGGGTCAGTTTTTGATTTGTTCACCTTGATTCTTGTGATTCTCCTGACTGATGCTCATGTGTGTATCAGGACCCTGAAGCGCTGGCCCAGCTGATGAAGTCAATGCCCCTGACAAACGACGGGAAGTTTCTTCTGCTGGAGAGCGAGATGGGAGAAGCAGCGGAAGCTTCCGGACAGGATGACCAGGAGTCAGAGGCTTGATCTGACACACACACACACACACACACACTTCCATTGCCTGCTGCTCTTCTCCTGTCCTCCTCTCTCTCTCCAGGCAGACTACATGAAGGAAAGCAACAGGTGGTCGAGGGTCGCCACTCGTTTGTTTAACACTTACTCAGTTTTAGATGCTCACTATAGAAAAGATGAAAGTTAAAGGTGTCAGTTTTGTTTTAACCTTTCAGTTCGAAAACATCAGACACGGGTTTACATGTTAAAGGAATAACTCACCCAAAAATAAAAATTCTCATCATTTTCTCAGCAAATAATAGATTCAAACTTGATTTGCTCCTCATGCCAATAGTATTGCATGACTCTGAATATAGTGCATGAGTACTATGAACCAATTTTATTATGGAAATGGTACCTAATAGAGTTAAACCGCTTCAGTTTCACGGTATGGAAAAGAGCAACTCAAGAGTTTTCTTTTTTGGGTGTACTGTCCCTTTAACAAAGTGTCCCGTCTTTTAGCGATTCTCTTTGCATTTTGATTTTCATTGTATTATTACAGTTCAAATTGTTTCATGATGTCAGATGTAGTTTCAGCTACAAGCAGATTTTTAAACACCTTAGTAATTCAATCATAATACAGGAGATTTTCTTATTTTTCACACTACATTGTCAGCAAACTGAACAATGAAACCTTGAGCCTTTGTTTGCACTTTCTTGGTTCCTGTTCAGCTCATCATAATTTACATTCCATACAACTACCATTCCACTTTTATTGTGATGCGGTTTATAATTAAGTCTCGCAAATCTGGAATGAATCTGAATTTGCACTCTGCGTCTCAAATCTCAGCGGCTTGAACGTTTCAGATGGGGTTTAGAAATATGGATTCATGCATGCTAATATTACTTCGAATGAATAATGGCGAGGAATACAAAGGTGAAGGCAGCACTTATACACACTTAAACATTAGATTTAAGGTAAGGATTTTGAGGGGATTTTTAAGGATTTTGCTAGATGGCCAATATTACGAGTTAACCATCAGTATTGCGTAGAAGTATGCAAATTGGGATTCAGCAGAATGCAAAACAAATTTGCACTTTTTTTCCCTCTATATTTTTGGTTAATGTGCAATTTAGGCGCTTTTTAAACACTTTAATTTAAAACACTAACTTCCTGTGGTCTGTTTACATGTAATACCTTTTATAATACTTCAAATGAATAGGAAATTCAGACAAATCCTTTAGATATATTTTAACATTCATTCTGTGGAAAAATTAATCTCAGGGTGAGTCTGGTAACAAAACGAAATAGTTTAGTTGTTTTCTCCCTCAGTATTTCCTGTGCGATTGGTTTGGTCTGTGCAGGTGGAGCCACTGCGCTTCATTAGGTACATCCTCATTTATCTGTGATCGTTTGTTTGTACTGAAGGAAACGTGTTGAATGAAGTTGAACTGTTTACATTTATCACTCATCCTGAAGTGTTCCTCGAACTTTAAATATGCCTCAGTAACAATCTGACGTTTAACCTGCGATGAGCTTGAGCATGAAAATAAAATCATTCATCAACATGATGTGCAGCAGTTATTGGACTGTCAGATTCTGCTCATGTATCATCTTTTTAGAATGTAAAACTCTTTAATAAAGCTTTGTGACCATTTCTAACTTAAGAGTCATGAGAAAGCAATTTAAAAATTAAATATTTTATTTTTACACCACATTAAAGCGTCACCGCACAACACCATTTGCATTCGTCGGACAGCTTTGCCAATAAACGCACCACACGTTCTGACGTGAACACTGAAGCAGGAGGGCTCACACACACATACACACACACGGGGCAATCAAGAGTCTTTGTAGTAGTTATTGAGGTTGATCCGTAACAGGAAGTCCTCCAGATGCGGCTGATAGCCTTTATCCACCAGTTTGGTCACCACTGTGGAAGATCATATACACTTATTTAACTCGGGTTAAAAGGGACAATTATCCATTCAATGTTTTTAATTTAAATTATGATTTTTCTTCTTTTGAAAGTTTATTTACAAAATGGCTAAAACAGCATTTTTTACTGGTGATAAAAATGATCATGTAAAAGTAAGATATGGTAATTATTCTGGCACAAGAAAAATCTTGACTGACATTTAAGGAATGATAAAATGCCATACAAGTGTGTGATATGGACCCTTTAGATTAATATAGCTGTTTTATTATACGTCTGATGGTCCTGCAGGAACATTTGGTGCTTGTGTGGATCTCTGCTCAAGAACAAGCTGTATTTGTGACGACTTTGCTGGCGATAATACAGTATTTATTTAGCCAATTTAATTTTTTAAGGAGTATGCCATCTGGTTAGTTTTACAGCGCCGTCTCGTCTCGTAAACTGCGCATATGACGGCAATAATAACGAGATATTTTTGTGGGATTTGTGGTTTAATTCTCAACAACAACCAGAAAGATGCCAATAGATTCAACATGTCTGATTAATTAACTGAGATAATCTTCAGCATGGATGAGCTCAACATGACAAATAAATCTGTAATGTCCTGCCAGCGATTTCAAGAGAAAATATATGAATTTGTAACTGTCATGTATTACTGCAAATAATGTTTTACTTTTATTTACTTTAACTTTTTTGATAAAATAGAAATTAAATGTATAGTTTTTGGATTCGTTGATAAAAACATTTTAAGAAACATGTTACACGTTTACATGTTAAAAATAACATGTTTACATGTAAAATAAATTGTAAAATATAAAAAATGCAACCGGTATACATAATTAGTGGGAAAGCTACTTGCCTATTTATATATATATATATATATATATATATATAATAATATACATGCATACATACATACATATATGTGACCCTGGACCACAAAACCAGTCACATGGGTTAATTTTTTTTAAATTGAGATGTATACATAATCTTAAAGTTGAATAAATAAGCTTTCCATTGGTGTTTGTTAGGATAGGATAATATTTGTCGGATATACAACTATTTGAAAATCTGGAATCTGAGGGTGCCAAAAAAAAATAAATAAATCGAAACATTGAGAAAATCGCCTTTAAAGTTGTCCATTTATCTTCGCGATTGTGCTGCATTCACTCACAACAATAAATATTTTATTTATTTACGGTTGGAAATTTATAAAACATCTTTATGGAACATAATCTTTAATTATTATCCTAATGATTTTTGGCATACAAGAAAAAAACGATAATTTTGACTACACTACCGTGACAATTTAGCTACACTACCGGTCAAAAGTTTTAGATCGGTAAGATTTTTTTATGTTTTTAAAAGAAAAAAACATACTTCTGCACACCAAGGTTTCAATTATTTGATAAAAAAAACAGTAATATTGTGAAATATTATTACAACTTCTATGTGAATATATAGTGAAGTGTAATTTATTTCTGTGATCAAAGCAGAATCAAAATTATTATAATATGATGCTCAAGAAACATTTATGATTATTATCCATGTTGAATACAGTTTTTTTGAGCATAAAATCAGCATATTAGAATGATTTCTGAAGGATCACACTGAAAACTGATGTAATCAGCAACAGTAATGAATAATGATGTTGAAAATTCAGCTTTCTAATTACATTTTAAAATATATTAAAATTGAAAACAGTCATTTTAAATTGTCGTAATATTTCACAATATTACCGTTTGTCATTTTTTATTTTCATCAAATAAAGCAGCCTTGGTGAGCAGAAGAGACTTCATTTAAAAACATTAAAAAAATCTTACTGATCTAAAACTTTTGACCGGTAGTGTATATCTCACATTGTTCTGATGACGGTGTGGCACACACATCTCGGCCTGTATCTGAGTCAGCAGGTGTGTCGCTCTAATCTTATCGGCCCCTGTCACACCTGTGATCTCTCAGCGTTTACCCTTGTAGCAGCAGCTCACCTTTGAACAGGAAGCGGGAGTAATACTTGAAGGTGTTGTAGGACTGCTGCATGGCGATGAAGCTGGGGTGCACCGGCACCCCCTGCTGGAGCTCCCACGGCTGTACGATCAGCTGACCGCGAAACTTCAGGATCAGGCTGAAGATGCTGTGGATGATGTTCATGACGGGGGCGGCTTTCTCCGTCAGCAAACCCCTGAGAGAATAAAACATTTCTTTAGATATCTGTATATTAATCACTGAATATGAATGTCACGTGGGAAACGGGTCCTCACCTGAAGATGGCTCTGTTGAGGTATTCGGCGTGTGTGCGGTGAATGGCGTCCAGATCGCTGGCACTGCTCAGTTTGTGTGTGAACTCGCTCCAGGACACCTGGAGGATCTGGTTAGCGATGTAGCCCTGGATCACCTTCACAAAGTGCTGCATCTCGTGTCTGTACAGCTGCAGCTGATGGAACTGAACGGAGCGACCGGCACCTTTCACCAGCGCTGACAGACAGGAGGAAATATTAGTTATTATTGTTATTATTAAGGGCAACACCTTGAACTCTTATGGTGTAATGTTTGCCACTTCACTTTATTGCCTCTAGGAGTCGCCAACGGACTAAAATCAAGGCAAATGTACATACGCCAGACATGAAGTTTACTTCACGTTCTTACGTTAATTTCACTGTTAGTACATCTGGTCGTGAAGGTGAAAACTGGCGTACGCCGTGTTTTTGTACGTACATGAGGCCCCAGGAGCGACACAAGCCTTGCCGTTTCAGAGATACTCAGACCCAATCGCTTTGGCCAGTGTCAAATCTCTCCAGTCTTTATTCCAGGCCATTTCTCCTGCATCCAACTTGTGGATTACAAGATCTGATTGCTTGCTAACCATCTAATCCATCCAGACTATAATATGTGGTTGGCAGCTCACTAAGTTTTGTTACAAATCTATACAGACTCATTCTGACAGCTTTAAATAACAGTAGCTTTGTTACCGTTTCATACATTTAGTGGGAGAACAGTAAAAAAGCGGGGCAGAAATCTTACCGGTTCTCTTGAGGTGAAACCAGACGTCTCGGAGCGACCACACCATGTGTTTGAGCTGCAGCAGGAAGGAGAAGAGTCTGTTGTATTTATTCAGACAGCTGTCTGTGATGACGATATTCACTGGCCAGTCCACCTACAGAACCAGAGAAAGACCATGAAAAAATGTCCAGCTCTTCAGAAACTTCATACTACAGGAAGACAGCGAACGTCTCTGACCTTGTATCGGAGCTCGAGACAGTTCAGCGAGTCTGGGGCGTGAGGGTGGAAGATCTCAGGAAGGTATCTCAGAGCAAACGTGAAGTGAGCCGCCAGCTCGCCGTCCCCATGAATGCTGTACTGTAACGCCTTATTCAGAATGGAGTTCAACACCAGCGGGGTGAGCAGCTCGCCAGGGGTCTGACCACTGCCCAGCTAAACACACGGTGCACAATAAGAAGTATCGTTAATATTTGTATGCTACAAACATGTTACAATGTTAAATCTAATTTTGTGTAAAAATGTCTTAAAGGAGACCTATAATGCACTTTTTCAAAGTCTTGTTTTTAAAGGGATAGTTCACTTTGAAATTAATTTTTGGTATGTTTTAGCTGACCTCAAGGGCATCCAGGATGTAGGTGTCTTTGTTTCCGCAGTATTTTCAAATTTGATATTTTTAGGTCAAACCGTTCTTGTCTGTCAGTCATATAATGGAGGTCTATGGTCACCACCTCAAAGAGCATGCACAGAAGAAGTCCAAATTAAACATGATTTAATGACTCGTAAATGTAAGTACACATTGATGGCCTAAGACACAAAACGAGCGGTTTGTGTGAGAAAACGAACAGTATTTATATCGTTTTTTACCTCTTGTTACCACAGCTACGTGTAAAAAAATAATATAAAAGATAAAAAAATTAAAAATATAAATATATTTATAATATAAATACTGTTAGTTTTCTCACACAAAGCGCTCGTTTCGTGTCTCAGGCCATCAATGTGTACTTACATTTACGAGTCATTAAATCATGTTTAATTTGGACTTCTCTGTGCATGCTCTTTGAGGTGGTGACCATAGACCTCCATTATATGACTGACAGACAAGAACGGTTTGACCTAAAAATATCAAAATTGAAACTACTGCGGAAACAAAGACACCTACATCTTGGATGCACTTGAGGTAAGATAAAACACACCAAGAATTAATTACAAAGTGAACTATCCCTTTAAGCTCTACTATAATAGGGTTTCATACTTATTTTTCACATATCTGACTTTGTCGCAGCTCCTCTCTTCGCAGTCTGTCAGTAACACTTTTAGTTCCTGTCTCTATGAAGCCCCTCCTTCTGAAAAGCACTATGTGCTCTGATTTGGGAAATCTTACCATTATCACGAGTTTTAACACACTACTAAGGCAACTCAATCAGGCTTTATTGGCGTATTAGGCGGGAATTCTTTTAATGAGGAATACTGTAATGTGTTCGCAAACTCAAGACTACAATGGAGGCGTTTCAGGGAGTTCAGAAAAAGTGTTTACTGACACTCGCACTGGAGGGACTTTGTAACTTTGCAGAACTTTTTCATGCTCAAACAGCAACATAACACACTAAAGAAAGATAAGCATGCATAATAGGACCCTTTAAGCTCTTCACATCAGATTTCTGAGCTTAGTGTAAGTGAAAACTGGCTTAGACCTTCTCGAAGAGCTGATCGCTGAGAGAGAGGGCAAACTCTCCATCCTCCATTAACAGGAAATGCCTGAGAGTTTTAAAATGCTTCTCCACGCCCAACTCCACGAAAAAATAATCCACCACGGCCTTATTTACCATGGACACACTAAGAGAAAGACAGAGTTTCAAATGTACAAATTTGAATGTTTAGCATACAGAGATATTTGCCCTTGTCCTGTGTGTGTGTGTACAGAATCAGTCAAGTTTGGAAACATAGTAAATAAACAAACTTTTATGTTAAATGCGATCAATCGATTTGACAACACTACAAATATATTAACCAAGCCCTAGTTTACATACTGTGTAATCAGTGGTGTTGTAACAGAGTGTTTCATGAGCACAGGAAGTGGCATCATCTCGCTTAGTTGAACAGCAGTGGCATCAGTGGCCCGGTACAGGGAGGGGTCGACAGGTAGGCCGTTCGGGCCTCGTGTGACCTGAAGCAGCAGCTCAGATTCTGGAGCCGAAGCTAGAGCAGGAATGACAACACAAACCTCTCTGTTTCTGATATATAAAGAAAGAAAGCTCTAGTAGTTCAGGATGGCCCAGTACTTACTCAACAGGCCGTATGAGTCCTGGTACTGCTCAACTTGGTACTGTGAGGCCAGGCTGAGAAGATAGCGATCCTCTGGACTCTTTTTAGGGGACAATCCTAGTCCCAGAGCCCAGGCAGACAGTCCCTCATCCAGGGAGAACAGCTCACTAGGGGGCGCTGCATTACAACATAACAAATACAAATAAGAAATCATTAACCACAGTCAATTTACTTTGTTTATGACCAACAGACATCAACAAAAAAAAAACCCCATAAAATCATAAAATAAATAATTCTTAAAATTAGAAATCTGTACCTGTGAGTAAAATCTCACTTCTAAATGAAATGGCAGTTACTTTTTTTTTATTCAATTCTGACGTTTTTCTGAAAGTAGCTGAGGGTGCTAAACATTTGTGCAGTTGCGTTCTCACCCTGGGTGTCTGTGTCAGCTGGTGTCTCTGTGTCTCCTGATGCTCGGTCAAATTTGTTCAGTAGTCTGTCAGCATACAAACTGCCTGGCACCACCCCGCCAACCACACAGCCCATGCCCAGAGCAGAGTCTGATGTGTGCGCGCGGGCTTCGCTGTATAGAGAACTGGGTCGAACAGTCTCAATCCCACTGACCACACACCCACTACCCAAGGTAGACTGTGAGGAATGTCCAAACTCACTTCCAGGCAATGCAGAGCGCTGAGGGTCTGCGCCAGATACAACACACCCCAATGTTAGCATGGAGTCCGACGCATGTCCGAAAGCGCTGCCAGGCAGAGGGGTGGATGAAAGGGCAGCGTCTGGCATCACACAACCCACTTTAAGAGTGCTGTCAGAAGAGTGACCAAATTTGCCCAAAAGTGGGCAAGAGGCGGCGACATCTGACACAAACTCACCCACCTTTATATGGGCGTCAGAGGCGTGGCCATGAATATTAGCGGTAGGGATATGAGTATTTACTTCAGAAATGTGTTCGCCAATCCTTATATGGGCATCAGAGGCGTGGCCATGAATATTAGCAATAGGAATATGAGTATTTACTTCAGAAATGTGCTCGCCAATCCTTATATGGGCATCAGAGGCATGGCCATGAATATTAGCGATAGGGATATGAGTATTTACTTCAGAAATGTGTTCGCCAATCCTTATATGGGCGTCAGAGGCATGGCCATGGATATTAGCGATAGGGATATGAGTATTTACTTCAGAAATGTGTTCGCCAACCCTTATATGGGCGTCAGAGGCGTGGCCACGGATGTTAGGGGTTGGAAGAGGAGTGGTTGCCTCAGAAACATTTTCGCAAACCCTTATATGGGCATCAGAGGCGTGTCCATGAATATTAGCAGTAGGGATGAGATTGGTCACTTCAGAAACATGTTTGTCAACCCTTATATGGGCATCAGAGGCGTGTCCATGAATATTAGCAGTAGGGATGAGATTGGTCACTTCAGAAACATGTTTGTCAACCCTTATATGGGCCTGGTCATGGATGTTAGGGGTTGGAAGGGAAGTGGTTACCTCAGAAACATGTGCGGCAACACTTATATGGGTGTCAGAGGCGTGGCCATGGATATTAGGGGTTGGAAGAGAAGGGGTTACCTCAGAAACACGTTCACCAATCCTTATATGGGCGTCAGAGGCGTGGCCATGGATGTTAGGGGTTGGAAGAGAAGGGGTTACCTCAGAAACATGTGCGGCAACACTTATATAGGCATCGGAGGCGTGGCCATGGATATTAGGGGTTGGAAGAGAAGGGGTTAACTCAGAAACATGTTCGCCAATCCTAATATGGGCGTCAGAGGCGTGGCCATGGATGTTAGGGGTTGGAATAGAAGGGGTTACCTCAGAAACATGTACGCCAACCCTTATATGGGCATCAGAGGCGTGGCCATGGATGTTGGGGGTTGGAATAGAAGTGGTTACCTCAGAAACATGTTCACCAACCCTTATGTGGGCATCAGAGGCGTGGCCATGAATATTAGCGGTAGGGATAATATTGGTCACTTCAGAAACATGTTCGCCAACCCTTATATGGGCATCAGAGGCGTGGCCATGGATGTTAGGGGTTGGAATAGAAGTGGTTACCTCAGAAACATGTTCGCCAACTCTTATGTTGGCATCAGAGGCGTGGCCATGGATATTAGCGGTAGGGATGAGATTGATCACTTCAGAAACATGTTCACCAACCCTTATATGGGCATCAGAGGCGTGGCCATGAATATTAGCGGTAGGGATGAGATTGGTCACTTCAGAAACATGTTCGCCAACCCTTATATGAGCGTCAGAGGATATCAGGCCACGGATATCAGAGGAGGACAGGGATAAGATCAGTGCTGGAGCAGGATCACGACTGTTATTTCTCGTATGAGTATCAGACTCTGACTCATGGAAGCTTATGAGAGGAGACACAGATTGTTCTTCCTCTGGCTGAGAACAGTGAGAGGGCTGGCTGACACTCTCACAGGACTTGGCTTTCTCTGTTGGCTCCTGTGTGGCTTGCTTTGGCTCTGAACCTGTGCTGGCCGCCGAGGGCTCTGTTCCTGTCTCTTCTTCAGTTAGTTGTTTTTCTGCCTCACATGTTCGCCCTTGAGTGGTTTGTGTAGAGGTGTTTGACAACGAACGGATTGGACCCTTGTTCCACCCCGAGGCAGTGGAGTCTCCCAGCTGCACTGAGCTCTGTGAGGGGTGTCCATGAACACTAGCCTTCGGCTTACCTACGGACACCTCTGGATTGAACTGACCCAATTGGAAGCTGGACTTGGATGCTTGTCCATATGGACAAGGCACAGGGACTGACTCTAGGACTTCAGAAACATTTTGTCCAAGTAGGTGGGGTTTCTGAGGAAACTGTAGCAGGTCAGAACCAATGTCCTGGAGGGCCTGGGTCACGGCACCACTGTCAGGGAGGCGTGGAGGCTTGGGGAGGAAGTCAGCAATGTCAATTCCATCTGATATGAGAGCATGCATTTCATCATTCTGGGATTCTGGGATAAGAGGATCTGCCGTTAGCTGTTCACCAAGATTCTGCTGTAAAATGTAAACAATTACAACAGTTTAAACTACATTTATGACACTATAGATGTGTATATGTAAATAACAGCACACAGACCTCAGTGTGTAGTTGTGCAGACTGATGTTTGTAGGCTGTTTTCGGAGGGGGGCCCTCCAGACCTAAAGGAAACTTCTCCAGAAGAGCCTGAACAGAAATCATAACACCTCAGATATAAAGATGTCCCCTTTAAAACAGTACTTTCATGGATGATGCTAACATATACCCTTTGCTAACTACTGGACATATGATTACTGATGCAAGTACAACTAGCAGACTGGTAGTTTGAGGAACTTAGAAAGGATGGTGCATAAACTGAGAACTGGAGACTTACTACACTAACACAAACTTTTTTTGGTGTCATGTGTATCTAGCTACAGTATCATTGCAATTGAAAAATGTAATATATATATTTTTAAATAATTTTCTTGTAAAAAATAAATTAATAATACATTTTAGTCAAATATGTTCCTAAAACATTGTTTTTTTGTTACAAAGGAAAAAAAAAAAAAAAACGCACTTTTACAGTAAACAAAAATTCTAAATATAACTAAATATATTTTAGTAACAATAATTAATGGAAAATGTATAAAATGACAAATAATAACAATATACCTATTGCAATTATCAGAGAAAGATACAAAACATACTCATTACAAATAAATATATTTTTAATAAAGTTACAATATGATTATAAAATGAATACTAATTTAATATAACTAACGAAAACCATTCCAATAATAATGCAATAACCCAAACTCTGCTGATATCAGACCTGTACGTTCTGTTGCTCTTGCTGCAGGAAGTTCATTCTGCGCTCGTCGAGTTTCATCCTCTGCACCTTCCACATGGCTCTGAGCTCTCGTCTAGCAGCGGCTTCTGATAACTGACCATACTGAGCGATCAGATCCATCCTGAACACAGAAAATACATCATTTCATTCTGAATTTCCTTAATGCCTCTGATCTCTCTGGATATTTGAGTCCTTTTATGAAGTACAACAGTCCAAAAAAAGTATTAATTCTCTTATAGAAACTTAATTATCTTCACAGTGAAATAGATATCTATCAAAAATAGCTGCCCACTGTTCTGGGTGTGTGTTCTTCACGGTGTGTGTGTGTGTGTGTTCAATTGATACTGATGTATGTGTGTGCACTTAAATGGGTGAAATGCAGAGCACAAGTGATGATTAACGGGATGAGTGGTTAATTTACTCATAAGAGAGCATAATCTTGTACTTTTGTCTTTTATCTTTTGGATTTAATCCAGTTTTGTAAAGTTATGATTCATCTGAGAGCTGTTTTGGTTCATGGCACATACTGCTTTACTGAATAATTTGCTCAAATGCCTGTAGAGAACATGAAAGGGAAATACAGTTCCTGTGGGAGGTCATTGCTGCGCTCTATAGCATCAGCCTCAATCGTTGTTTTTTTGTTCTGAGTGTTAGTGTATGTCGCTCACCGTGCCCGGCGCTCCAGCTGCTCCTCGAGGGCCTGCAGCCTCTGCTCTCGGTCTCTGAGCTCCCGAGCGTAGCCGAAATCATCTTCCTGCTCCTTCTGTTTCGCAGCACTACGCCACTGAAACCACATCGACATAAGTTAGAGCCGCTGAAGACGCTTTTACTGACTGGTTATTAATATGCTTCTCACCTCCTGGTCAAGTTCCAGCTGCTGTTTCATCTCTTCAAACCGCTCTCTCTTCTGGGCCTCCTCCGCCAGACGCTGCGACACCTGGCGGCCTGCAGGGGGCGAGAGTGAAAACAGCGGGACGTCAGCTTGTAAACTTCATTCATCTGACTCTGTGGGGAGGAACTCCCTCTCGCTGGTCTTCCTGATAATTAATACTCGACCTCCACGAGGAGAACAACTGTGTCCCCCTCGCGTAAAAAAACATTGTTTACTTTAGTGTTATTTTAAAAGCATGAGTTTTTTTTAATACTTCGAATAAGATTTTATCCACACACTTTTTTTATTTTTAAACTTAAAGGGATACTCCACTTTTACCGTTTTCAAATCCATTCAGGCGATTTTCTGATATTTAGAAGAATATCAGTAAACAGACAGTTTCTGGTCTTATTGACTTCCATAGTAGGAGGAAAAAATATACTATGGAAGTCAATGAGACCAGAAACTGTCTGTTTACTGTTATTCTTCTAAATATCAGAAAATCGCCTGAATGGATTCGAAAACGGTAAAACCCAACTGTTTAACTCTGGGGGAGTGGTAAAATGAGCCTATTTCCAAAAAAAGTGGAGTATCCCTTTAAACTAAACAAAAAAGCTTTTGGTCATGATGAGTAGAAAAGTGTATCTGTCCAACGTGAACTTCCTGGCCCTTAAGCCCATTTCTCCTTTAATTCAGAAGGCTGCTATTTGGGACAGGGCCTATGATGAAAGTCAAGTCTGGCTACGCAAGACTAATTTTACCCAGACAGAAGCTGCTAACAGCATCAGGTGCATGTGTGTGCGTGCTTGGGTTTTGAAGGGACAGATTTCTGACCTCTGATTCTCTCCAGGGTCTTGGCCGCTGTCTCTCTGACCTGGTTAATGAGCTCCTGTCGAGCCTGTTCAGTCCGCATGGCCTTATAGAGAGAAAGGGAAAATAAAGGAAGACAGACTTCAACGCAAAACAATGAAGCAGATTTTAGCCCAGGTCACAGTGTCCTGATGAAACTGGGTTAATGGACCAGATTTTAAAATCTCATCTGTTGCCATGCCAACAGTATGGGCACCACACAGTTATTGGGTCTCTAAATTTAGTGAGCATACTTCAGACATATAAACACTTAACCTGGATGAGCTATTTTGAAAACCTCATAATTACTTAACTATATATCAGTGGTAAGCGGAGCAGCATGACAGGTGCAGTACCTTCTCCTCCCTGCTGATGGCGCTGTGCCTTGCAATCGTCTCCATTCGCCCTCGGTACACGGCACAGTCTCTCTCAATCTCCTCAACTTCCTGCAGGGAAAACGTCACAGCGATCCTGGGCACTGGTATATCCGACCAGAAGATGTAGTGCTGTTTAAATGGACAGATGGAGTTAAATCTTGAACTTCCGAAAATCACCTCTGAAAAATATTTCATCAGTAAAGATGCATGAAATTCATCAAAAGTGAAAGTAAAGACATTTATAATGTTACAAATGTTATATTTCAAATAAATGCCATTCTTTTGAACATTTTCTTCATTTAAAGAATCCTGAAAAATCTAAATTTCAACAAAAAATATTAAGCAGCACTACTGTTTTCGACATTGAAAATAAATGTTTTTTGAGCATCAAATCACCATATTAGAATGATCATGTGACTCTGAACACTCTGAAGACTCAGCTTTGATCACAGGAATAAATTAACTATTTTATTTTAAATTGTAATAATATTTCACAATCTTTCAGTTTTAACTGCATTTTGGATGAAACAAAATGCAGCCTCGGTGAGTAGAGACATTTTTTCAAAAACATAAAAGATCTTCCTGACCCCAAACTTCTGAAAGGCAGTTAAAGCGTTGTAAAGTGTTTGAGGAGCACCTGTGGGCAGCAGATTTTCAGAAGATTGATTGTTTTCCCGCAGACGTAAACATCGTTTGCAATGTGTTTGAGAAACACCGGCACACAGTCCTCTGCATCCCGCGAAATGAGAGTGTAGCCCTGCGTCCAAAAGTTCTTATCTGAGGGGGCAGAGATTCATTCAGTTCTGCATAACTGACATATTGATTTTAAGACTGTTCTCATTGATTTAACTGCACACATTTTAATTAAATAATGCAGCAAAAAATGAATGGATTTATCAAGAAATCTAAACATTCAACATTAAACGAAAGTGTGAGATTGAGAAACTCACCTCTGTGGGTCAGATAATCCTCATTGACCTCAATCATAAACTCTTTATAAACGTCACGGAAGACGCCACCGTACACCCAGTCCGAAACAAACCTACACACCAACACAGACATTAAGTTAAAGGTACACTATGTAACTTTTTTGTTCAAAATTAGCTAAATTTAAATGAGTCATGTGTTTTTGTTGTGATTTTGACCCGGATTCACTATGGTAAGCCTCTTATAAGCCTTTATATTTGAGAGCTGAAGGGATGGTACCCTGGGAAAACTCAGACAACTTCCGGCAAATTTAGATTTGCTCTGAAAGTTAGTTCATTTCCAATCCGTTGAAATCGAGGCACCAATCAGAAACGTTGGGGCGGGGTTTACACGATGACGAGAGCGCTGGGATTTTGAAAGTATACAGTACATTACAAAGATGGATGCCGCCGTCGAACATCACTCGTTCGAATCAGCTATCGCGTCTGTTTTAAGCGTTTTGAACATTTCCTTTTTGTTAAAAACCGAGCAAAGAACAACACTATGAGTTTCTCCGCCGCTCTGCAAACGTCATCTCCTTCATCGCTCTAATTGGTTTTAAGTCTACCCGCGACGTTCGTTGGCGACACCCCTCTGGAAATGATTTGTCTATGACCCTTTGCCAGACCATAACTTAGTTACAACAGTTTTAACTGGTTTTAACTAGGCTAAGGCGAAGGTCTTTGTGGGAAATTGCGTACGTGCCACTCGTCCGTGCGCGTCTCGTATTATCTGTAAATAGAGTAAAGTTGCTCTGGCTACTTTGACGTGAGTCTGGTGTGGGAGTGGCAGAGGTTAGTTGTAACAATAAGCGAGAAAGCTGGACATGGAGCAGTTCAATTTTGAACAAACACAGAACATAATAAACACAGAAAGTTATGAGAAGATAAGATTGTTTGAAATGGGTTTGGCTAAAAGAAAAATGTGGTTTTGTCTATAGGCTAGCCTACTACTAGGTAGGCTAGGCTACTTATATATTGACTGGGTTAAATAAAATTGCCTACTAAAAAGAAACTAAAATACAATTTTCATTGACTAAAACTAGACTATGTCTTTCGTCGACTAACACTAGACAAAAATGTCATCAGTTTTCGTCGACTAAAATTAGACTAGACTAAAAAGAGTATGTACGTGACTAAAACTAAAAACTAAAATGTCAGCTTGACACAAAGACTAGACTAAAACTAAAATGAAAACAGGCCGCCAAAAACAACATTAGTGTTTGTATTACTCAACAGATGAGTAATATGTTATTGAACAGATAAATATGTAGCTCTTGGTCATTCACTGTAAACCAATATCGAATGTGTAGGGTCATTTCATTATAGTTTTTAAGAAAGCGCTGTTCTGGAATTTGTTTTTAAGGAAGTACCGTGTCTATTAATGGGTAAAGCTACAGTAACGTCTTCAGCTAGACAGATTAAGATCCTTTCCATCTAAACTGGATATATCTCTAGCCTAGTAGTGAATGTATCTCCCTCTTTTTTAGTTATAAGAAAGAACCATATTCATCTGCACAGTCACACAGAGCTGAACCACAACCAAAATGCAGCTTGACAGATGTGGTTGTATGAGAAAAAAGCAGTATGAGGATTCATGTAGCACAAGAAAAACAACAGTTGAAGATGAGTGAATAATAGCAAAGAATCTCTGTTGTGCACTTAATGGCAGCCAGACACTACAGAAACCATTTCATAGTATCAATCACTCGGAAAAATATGGTCTGTCAAAAAAGCACTCTGCTCTTAAGTGACCTTCTTGTGTAATAGATAAATAAGTAAATCGTGATGGAGGAGATGAGTTTCTCACCGTGTGTACGGCTCACAGCTGCTCTTCAGCAGCGACAGCAGCACCGGATGATTCTCATTACTGCAGTTACTCTGAGCTTCATTATACAGACACGACAGCAGTTTTACACCCTAAACACAGACATCACACAGCCAATTACACAAACAGCACCGCAGACCTGCCTACAACACTTCTGAGCTGAAAACAACATCTTCAAACTCAAAGCTATTGTGTCTGTCAGAAGAATGAGTGCTTCTTACCATGGGGAACGTTGCTCGTCCCACACCGGCGATTCCATCCACACAGCACAGTTCTGACAGATACCTGATGAACACATACAGGACATGGATTAACATCTGCTGAAACTGATTTTCTTCTGACAGACTACATACTTATTTTTCTCCTCCTGATGTCCATTAATAACGTCACTTAGGAATCAGTTTTGTGCTCAACCAGTCAGGCCAGGTAGTTTAGATTTGTACTTGCCCTGCCGACACTTTCACTGTGTCCCGAGACAAAACATTAAACATTTTTTATTAAATAATTTTAGATTTTTTTACATTATCATTTTATATATATACACACACAATTAATGATATATATATATATATATATATATATATATATATGAAGAGTTCAGATGCAAAAGCCTCTAAGTGCCATTTGAAATTTTGTTCTAGAATGACCATTTTTGTCAAACTTGTATATTTAAGTTCAGTAATTTCACTTAAATAACAATTAGTAGGTAATCCTCATTGCCATTTAAGTGAAATTACTGAACTTAAATATACAGGCTTGATAAAAATGATAATTTTAGAAGAAAATTTCAAATGGCACTTAGAGGCTTTTGCATCTGAACTCTTCATATATATATATAAATTATATATAAAAACCAAACCACAACCAAACCACAATTTTGTATAAAATTATATATAATACATGACTTAATTATATTATATAATTAAGCCTATTATACAATTTAATTTAATGCATAATCATCTATATAGAAATACACATATACATATATACTACCGGTCAAAAGTTTTTGATCGGTAAGATTTTTTATGTTTTTAAAAGAAGTCTCTTCTGCTCACCAAGGCTGCAATTATTTGATAAAAAAAACAACAAAAAAAAAAAAAAAAAAAAAAAAAAACAGTAATATTGTGAAATAGTATTACAATTTAAAACAGTGGTTTTCTATGTGAATATATAGTGAAGTGTAATTTATTCCTGTGATCAAAGCTGAATTTACAGCGTCATTACTCCAGTCTTCAGTGTCACATGATCCTACAGAAATTATTATAATATGATGCTCAAGAAATATTTATGATTATTATCCATGTTGAAAACAGTTTTTTACATTTTTATTTCAGGATTCTTTGATGAATAGAAAGTTAAAAAGAACAGAATTGATCTGAAATGGAAAAGCTTTTGTAACATTAATCACTATCATTCAAAAGTTTGGGGTCAGTAAGAATATATTTTTTATTTTTGGGGGAAAGAAATTAGAAAATACATCAAGGATGAGTTAAATTGACCAAAAGTTACAGTAAAGACATTTATAATGTTAGAAAAGATTATATTTTAAATAAATGCTGTTCTTTTGAACTTTCTATTCATTAAAGAATTTTGGGGGGGGAAATGGTGCACGACTGTTTTCAACATTGAAAATAATAATTTATGTTTTTTGAGCATAAAATCAGCATATTAGAATGATTTCTGAAGGATCATGTGACACTGAAAACTGATGTGTAATCAGCAACAGTAATGATGTTGAAAATTCAGCTTATAAAAATATATTAAAATAGAAAACATTCATTTTAAATTGTCACAATATTTCACAATATTACTGTTTGTCATTTTTTTTTTTTCATCAAATAAAACAGCCTTGGTGAGCAGAAGAGACTTCTTTTAAACAAAAAATCTTACAGATCTAAAACTTTTGACTGGTAGTGTGTATATATATCATATTAATCTGGCTTTGTCCCAGAGCTAGTGTGAAAGAGTGATTTCACAGTCCATTTTTTACCACTTAGTATCCAAAAATGCTCTGACTGGAATGAGGCAATAGTTTTGCATTGTAAACAAAGTATGTTTACACCGTTTTATAATTAAAAAAAAAAATCCTTTATCTGAGCCCTTTAACACCACAGATTTGTGGATTGCATGACAAGAGGGAAGATTTACCTGAGCTGACGCCCCAGTTTGCGGAAATGACAAGCGATAGTTAGTAGACTAAGAGAGGCCGGTGTGCTCAGCACACACGCCCTGTAGTAATGCAGGTAACGCCGCAGCCCACCTGTGAAGGCCTGAGACACACACACACACACACAAGAATCAGTGTAATGTTGTTATGGGGAACAAATCCTGGAGTACTGTAAGAATTGACAGCATGCGTCACCTGGAAGACGAGTCCCTTCTGACTCCCGCTGCTCAGGGAGAAGCGGCTGAGGCGCAGATAGTGTGTGCCGTACTGTGCCAGCTCACCCAGCAGACGAGACACACTCTCAGGGGACGTCCCGGACACACATATATCCGGACGGACATCAAACTGTACACTAGCCTTGAGTGGAGAATGACGCAAAGAGAAAGTCAAGAAAAAAAGTTCTTGTCAATGAAATGTGATCATTATTTTACATTTACAATTCAAATGTATTTTTTTGATGTTTATTGAATTACCTCGTTGAGAGGAAACGTGGCCGAGGAGACCCCGATCAGCACGTTGAGCACATCTTTGACCAGCTGACTCTGGCAGTCCAGTGGCAGTGGCAGGAGTGGTGACGGTGTCTGTGTGGCCAGAACGTTCCTCATTTCTCCTTCCCACAGCCGGTACAGCTGATCAAACGCCTCTCTGCCAGCTTCTGTCAGGTACGGGGGGTCCTTCTGACCCGGCGGGCTGGAGCAGAGAGAGAAAAAGACAAACGTGGACCATATATTCAAACTACTTTTTTTTGAAGTATTCGGCAGGGGTGCATTATAATGCGTGCATTCATCTGTCCAACTTAAATGAGAACTCCGGCGCAAAATGAACCTTTGGTCTAATAAAACATCGGCACCTAGTCAACCGTTCTCTGAGATTTGTTTTCATGATATTCGAACGTAAAGAGTTTTATCTCTAAAAACTGTTTAGCATATAATGCTAAATGGGGGCATTTACTAAGTAAAAAGAAATCGCTAGTTTATACCACTAACAAGGCTTAAAATAGCCCCACACTAACACAGTAACATAATGAGGGTCCATACATGCAAAACGAAGCATTGAGAACTTTGTAAGTGTACAGGCCGTTTAATAACAAGATACTTTATGAAGACAGTTCACTTTGTTTATACAGACAGAAGCCATCTTTGGAAAACAGACTCGATAAGTCAAACCACGAACGTCGTGCTAAGTGAGCTGAACTGTATGAAGTTCAGCGAACTTCTGAACTGTATAAACGGTGTTCGGGGATCGACTTATCGAGACTATTTTCTAAGATGGCTCCTGTCTGTATACACGAAGTGAACTGTCTTTATAACAAAAATAAGAATGATTATTTTTGCTTTAATAATGGTTTTATATAATAATAATTATATCTAATCCAAAATACAGTTCTTGACCTAATTTCAACAAAAATCACTTGAAAAAAATACCATTGAATGTTTTGTTTTGTAAAGCAATTAATAAAAACTCATTTCAAAGATTTAACCCTAAAACTGTATTCTGGACAAATGTGGGCAAAATAGTTTTGATTTATTTTTTAAAAATACTTCCCTTCATCTGAACGGTACAAGACTTGGCTACTTTTCCTAACTTTGCCTCCTGAACACACACAATTTTTTTGACTCAATTTTACAATGTTAAGGGGGTGAAAAAAAAACCTCCTTAAACTTGTATTTGGGTCAAAAATGGGCACCCATAGAAATGAATGGGAAAAACTAATTTAGAGCATTCTAAAATAAGACACCAGGTGACAGCAAAGTCACTTCATCTTTAGGTTTTAGCTCTAATGTAGTTAAAACAAATTACAAAAATAAAACTACATAGTAATTCATTTACATACAAATAATTTACATAGAAAATATGGTACTTCTCCAGAAATGCCCGCTCCCCATTGAAATGAATGGTATTGTGACGCTTTGTCGCTTGTAGTGTGAAAGGGGCTAAACTCTCTCTTACCAGCCAATGTTCTCCCAACAGCGTCGTCTCCCGGGCACGAACGTCCGAAGGGCCTCCCACACGTCGATCTCAGGGCTGGGACTCGCCTCGGACTGGGAATCAGGAGTCAGATTAGAGGAAGACTGGAAGCCTTCGTCATCAGACTGATCCAGAGACAGAGGAACCTGCAGGAACAACAACATAAACGATAAGACTAAAATATAATAAAGATAAGAAGAATAGATATATTTAGTATCCTCACCCGTATGCTCAGTCCAGTGATATCTGCGTTACTGGGAACGGGCGGCATGTCCAGTCGGATGTCCATATCTGTGGTTTTGGAGTGTTGCAGGGCACCAAACAATGACAGTCGGGTCTCTCTGTCAAACTTCTCCTCAAAATCCAGTCTGCGCCCCAGTCCGAGCAGCCCGGTGCCCGGTGGGGCGTCCATGATGCTCAGGGTCCTGCAGACGCCCCCGAACACGCCCCACTCCTCCCCACAGATCAAAGACCACGCCCTCTCCTCCAAGCGCTGTGTGTCCTTGCTCAGGTACCCGCCCAATGGGGGTCTGCGCTGCACGGGACGCTCCCGCCGCATGTAGTCGCGACTGAAAGACAGAAGGGGTGTTGCCACGGACCCGGCCAGCTGCACTAGAAGCTCCAGGACGGAATTGAGTTCGGACAGCCCCGCCCCGTCCCGTAGCTGACCCAGGAGCTCCTCCAACCTCTCGGCCTCCTCATCGTGGCCGGAAACGCGCAGGTCAAAGGAGATCATTAGTATTTTATTGTGGGACGGTGTTTTCACCAGGGCCTGCGGTGCCGGTTTGGACAACCCATCTTGGAAGAGTCCCGCGAGCAATGCCCCGTACGCACGCTTGCGGAGGATCCGCCGCGCCGACTCCCGCGACACTGTGCCTGGAGCGCAACGTTTCCATGACAACCCGGAGATGCAGCAGTCGCAGAGTGAGGTCAGCAGTCCGGTGATGCTGGCGCTGTTGCCTTGGCAACCGGACATCTCAGCGAGAGTGCGGGATCATGACGCAGCGAGACCTGTGCAAAAAAATAAATAAATAAAAAATATGGAATTCATAAAATACTAGAGAATATACACTGTGACCAACTGTCCTGTTTTCCCAGGACATGTCCTGTTTTCATATAACAATATGACATTTTTCTATCCATACAGAGGAGGCAAAACCTACGTTAAATGTATTGAAATTAATAAGGTATCTTTGAGTAAACTTCGAGTATCATTTGAGTTGGCCCATGTGTTTGCTGGGCCGAGTGTCCTGGTTTTTGGTAATCAAAATATGGTCACCCTAATATACACAGTTCTTGAAAATATAAATGGTCACCATGTACTTAATCACGCTTCTATTTCTTTTGTACTATGGTAAAGTGTCTTAACACCTTTTGTTTATTATTATCTTATTTGTAAGATGAGTAAGTTAACGTTACACCGCTTTCTGTTTCAATGCATTCAGCATACATGGTCTAAAGCCAACAGCCACAGCAAACAGCTAAATATGTGCACACATACAATAATTTAAGGTTTATTACACTCATTATTGTTATTTTAGCAGATAAAGGCATTGTTTTTGACGTTAATACCGAAGGCAGTAGCAAACAAACACAACTGCAGCGACCAAACGCCTGCACGTTCACAAATGCGAGTCTAAGAAAATTTACTCACGTAGAAACTCGAGCTTTAGCTGTCCAAGCTGCAAATGTTTAATCCGCATTAGTGAATAAATCTTACTGGCAATAAAAAATGAGCATTTAATGCACATAAACACACGAGCTACATTTCCTTAACCGCCGCGCTACACAACTAAGCCCCGCCTTCTCTATACTCATTGGATGAAATCAGACTTTCTCTGATGAAATGTAAGAGAGTGTACATTCATTGGCTAAACCAGAGACACGTGGGCGCCCACTACCCAATTTCATTGGATCAAACCAGAGCCATGTATGGATCAAACGTGACATGCACTCTATCATGACGTACGCATTTCCGGATAGAGCGTCCGCTAGCGGTGTCGCGGCGAACGTTTTGTTATCTAGATTTCCATAAATGTATGAATATTTTTACATTCATACGAAGTTTTATTTTCTATATGTGATACACATTCTCGTGATTATTAATATTTTATTCCTCATCAAAAAACATTCCTTTAAAATGACTCCAGTCCAGATCCTGCTGCCTTCTTGAGTATTTATGTGGCCCTTGTTGTAACTAGTTAGTACATAAAAGTTAGTACATAAAACTCTGACGACACTAAATTTTTTATTCACTCATAGGCAACAAGTCAAGTCATTAATTGTTTCTGAATCTTGTAGTATTGTTTTGGTCATTGTCTCTGGGAGCATTGGTACCAAATTCACTTTTACATTTCCATTTGGTCTCCTGTTGGTGGACGAGGCAAAAACCGGCTGGTTCATTTCGCCCGAAGGGAAAACAGAGCAAAAAGTGAACTTTCTATGAAGCCAGAGAAGAGTAGGGGAAGATGTCCCTGAAGTGTGAGGAACAACAACTCCATTCAGGTTCAAACTCTCCCTCTGGCTCCTCTGAGATATGCAGATGCCTTGAACACCCCCACAAGCTACAGCTGTTTGTGGTCAAGCACTACATTATTAATCATGACAATTCCCTTTTTCAGTTTCAGAGGTTTTCTTGGACCGCAGCCAAGGGAGAATCCTTGAGTGTGTGTTAGTTTGAGGGTCCGCGTCTCCCTTTAAGGCAAAGCCGAAGAAATCTCATTAATATCTGAGGGTTAGACACCACTGCAGGTGAATATAAACACAAACACCTGCCAGAGTGGGCTTTCCTTGAGTGATGGCTCTCACAGCGAGAATGAAAGGGCCCGATCTTCTTATTTTCCCAGCGTGTGGAAAATCGGAGATGTTTTTTCAAGGCTCAAGCCCAGTTGCATAGAATCGTGACTAAGTTAATTCAGTGCCCATGCAGGGGGGCCGCACGGTCTGATCGGATTAATTCGGTTATAGAATCAAGGGTAGCAGAAGCTCTCATGAAACAAAGTCTCACACGCAGACCTGCTCTTCCCCGTGTTTAACTAGAAGACAGAGACTCATATAATGCTTTTTACTGTCTGAGACTTTGTGAATTTACATAAGTCAAGAGGTATAAAAGGTGAAGGATTTATATTGAAACTGTGTCATCATCGCCTCTAAAAATCTAATAAGGAAGAGGTGTGATTAGATTTCTGTCTGCGGTGTAAATCGTGAGGGGATTTCTGATAATCTGATTGATATATTTCAGTTTGGCACCGACTCTTTAGATCCATTTGGTGGGCTTAAGGCTTAAGATCTGTTGGTTTTGACACTGTCCTACTTCAAAAACACTTTTGAATGATGTCATTTTTTTGCATAAGCCCTCATTGGGGGTCTTAAACTGACAACACAATGCTTATACTGTTTGGGCATGTCCAAACACCCACACTTGCGGCCTTGGCCTCTTGAGAGAATGTGCAAGTGACATTAAGTGTGTGCGCAAGACTGTCCCATGTCTTAAAAATGCCAAAGTGAACGCACACTAAACCCAGGCTGCATCCGAAATCACATACTTCCCTACTATAGGTGAAAAATAGTATGCGACAAAAGTAGTATGTCTGAATTCACAGTAAAAGAGTCTGTAAAAAGTAGCCTACCTAGAAGATCTAATTCTTCCGGAAAGATTCTGAAGTGTGCATATGATGGACACTTAGACCCATGAGGCTATTAGAGAAGATTTGTGAACGGCAGTGAAGCGACTTAAAGGGATTGTTCACTTTGAAATTAATTTTTTATATGTTTTAGCTTACCTCAAGGGCATCCAAGATGTAGGTCTTTGTTTCCGCAGTAATTTCAATTTTGATATTTTTAGGTCAAACCGTTCGTGTCTGTCAGTCATATAATGGAGGTCTATGGTCACCACCTCAAAGAGCATGCACAGAGAAGTCCAAATTAAACACGATTTAATGGCTCGTAAATGTAAGTACACATTTATAGTCGATATTTATATCGTTTTTACATCTTGCAACCACAGACACATCCAAGTGATCTGAGGGCGCGAGCGCTTTGTAGCAGAGGTAAGAGGTAAAAACAATATAAATACTGTTCGTTTTCTCTCACAAACCGCTCTTTTCGTGTCTTAGGCCATCAATGTGTACTTACATTTACGAGTCATTAAATCGTGTTTAATTTGGACTTCTCTGTGCATGCTCTTTGAGGTGGTGACCATAGACCTCCATTATATGACTGACAGAAACGAACGGTTTGACCTAAAAATATCAAAATTGAAACTACTGCAGAAACAAAGACGTATCAAAAATTTATTTCAAAGTGAACTACCCCTTTAACTGAGGCTGGTTGGTCATCATGTGATTATGACATGATGAATGTAATCCATCCAGATTACATTCTTACTAGAAGAACATACTTTTATGCGGTCTCGAAGACATTGCGTGTTCAATATATGTACGAAATCGGATGCAGCCTCATATTAATGGGGATTTTCCCTTGTACCGTTGGTTGCTATAAGCTGTTCCCATTGGTCCCCTTCAGGGCTTATTTGCATAAATTTGAACTCTGTTACATTTTAGAGAGAAGAAAACACTTCCCATATGTTTTGTAATTGGTTGTTAGGCTAATCAAACTAAGCAGATGGTCAGGTTGTGTAACACACCTTCATGACTAAAAACTATGTGAAAATAAGATAAACACCGTTTGTGTGGTTAATATTGGCTGCTGAGAGCATGAAATCAACTGAAGACACATTTAAAAAACCACAAACTTAATCCTAAATATTGTCCCCACTTGACATCCAATACAAAACCTGGTTCTCCGCTCTCCTTTGACGACATAAACGTCTGTGCTGACACCAAAATGTCATAGATCTCATCATTAAAGGTCACATAACGTCTTTACGGCACCTGATTCATTAGAGATCCTCTAGACCAGGGGCCAGAAAAGAGGCGAAACCCAACACTCGAGAGGTGGACGTGTATATTTATTCACACAAGGATCAGACGGCATGTTGGACCCGTGGCAGCACAGTTCACACATACGACATCAGTCCTCCGAGAGCCCGATGGAGAATTCGTTGTCCTCCGTAATCCCAGAATACTTTGCTCTCGGCACATTCACAAATGAAGGGACAACAACAAACAAGTTTTCTCAGAGCATAACGCACAGGAGAACAGTGTAGACAGAATTGCATTTTAATACAAAGGCATATATTTTCTTTAGGACATAAAATAATGATATTAACTGCACAGCAGTAAGAAAAGGTCGTGTACAGATTGTTTGTTCATACACACCATTGAAACACAATTTCGGGTCGGTACAATAATAAAAACATTTGTGCTAATCAATAATTCCTTTTGCATAAAGACCAAACGTAATGGCGGCTGTCCGGAGGGAAGGTTTTCACATTCTCCTCCGCACATTTATTCAGCTCGAGCGTTTTTCCCAATGCAGTAAAACTCCTAAAAAGCACACACACACCACAAACATCTGCACGGTATTAAAAACGGCGCTTTTGCTCTATACATACAGCATGTTCAAATATATTGGCATATTCTGGCTACAGCACACCTCTGAATACTGCACTTACTGATGTCTAACACCACACTTCACGTACGCCACGACCTCTGACCTCTACACACCCCATGACTACCGAAACCCCACCCGCCCCGACGTCTTCAATACCACTGCACCAGCACGTTTAAACACTTTTAAGGCACGTTTTGGCTACAGAAAGGCGTTAAAAGAAGCGTTTTACACTTGACCACGTAGACTTGCATCTGTGCTTGTGCTTTAAAGGGATAGTTCATAGTGGAACACAAAAGGAGGATTTTTGAAAATGATTTATTTTCCTAGTACAGTATTTTTTGTCTTGTTTAACATTCTTAAATCAAGAAACATTTACTTGAGAAGCAAAATGAAAAATATCTGCCAAATGGGGTAACAAATAATAATATCGTAATTCGATGGGAAAACAAGATTACTTTGAAGCATTGCGAGTTTAAAGGGATAGTTCACTTTGAAATGAATTTTTGGTGTGTTTTAGCTTACCTCAAGGGCATCCAAGATGTAGGTGTCTTTGTTTCCACAGTGGTTTCAATTTTGATATTTTTAGGTCAAACCGTTTGTGTCTATCAGTCATATAATGGAGGTCTATGGTCACCACCTCAAAGAGCATGCACAGAGAAGTCCAAATTAAACATGATTCAATGACTCGTAAATGTAAGTACACATTGATGGCCTAAGACACGAAACGAGTGGTTTGTGTGAGAAAACGAACAATATTTATATTGTTATTTATATAACGCGGGCACTTTGTGGCTGTGATTACAAGAGGTAAAAACGATATAAATACTGTTTGTTTTCTCATTCAAACCGCTCGTTTCGTGTCTTAGGCCATCAATGTGTACTTACATTTACAAGTCATTAAATCATGTTTAATTTGGACTTCTCTGTGCATGCTCTTTGAGGTGGTGACCATAGACCTCCATTATATGACTAACAGACACAAACGGTTTGACCTAAAAATATCAAAATTGAAACTACTGTGGAAACAAAGACACCTATATCTTGGATGCCCTTGAGGTAAGCTAAAACATACCAAAAATTAATTTCAAAGTGAACTATCCCTTTAAGTAAATTATTAAATTTTCCATGTTTGTGTGGAACAATCCCTTTAAGATGAAAGAGAAAGGGGCGAGGGTAGATGGGAAAGCATGGAGTCAGCATCACACATGCAGTTAGGATCAAACGCAGCTCCTGCTGGTTGTATTAAAGCTGAAGGGAAGGGAAGGGAAGTGAGAGGGAGGGC